TTAAAACCCTGAGTTCAACAGTGAGTTTGTCCCAGATGTGGTAGTTCACCCGTGGGAGCAGCACTAAGTGCCTTCATACTGTCACAATCCAAACGTCATGTGAAAGACACTGGCTTCACACATCCTGTAAGCTGACACAGAGTCAAGGGAAGGGATGTGCCTCTGTGTGATGAAAGCCCTCATTTCTCTCTTTCTCTGGAGAGATTTGCCACAGCTGACTGCTTTGGTGCTTTGCCCTTGAACTGGACAAAATTTCAAAAGGAACATGAAAGCAAAGCCGTGAAGGGATGACAGTGTCAGTGCTCTCACAGCAGAACAGATTTTGCTCAAGTGAGAGGAAATTTACTCTTCGTCTTTGCTAGAGTTGGTTAACTTTGCTGTTTGAATGGAGAAACATGAAAATATGAAAGGATTCTGCCCTCACCTTCCTCCCTCCCAAACACTTATTAATCATCCTCTCCTTCATTCCCTCAATCCCTTATTATAGCTGTGCGGGTTTTTGTGCGATTCTGAACACAGGCTGTGTATGCAAATAAGTGCCAGAAAAACACAATGACACACACATACTCCCAGTGGGAGTCAGATTAGTGAGCTACAGAAGGTATTGCCTCCTGCCATCCAGGAAATTCTGATCCTGCAGTCCATGGGATTGAGGTGTTTTTGTCATAAATATTCTCTGGTTAGAGTAGCTTGGAGGTGCAGCATACAGTTGTTAATTTCACTTTCAAAATAAAGTCACAGCCTGCGGGATTGCTTGCGAACACCTCAATATATTTCATGACAGGATTGGTTCCTTAAGGTTTCAGACTTGGTGATTAAAATGAGTGAAACTCTGATGTATTTCCCTGCAGCATCTTGGCTGCATATGTCCAACCAGGCCTGTATTATACTGATCTGATCACAGATTATGTTTCAAGCTTGACTCTTTATTTCACTTTACTGACCATTTGAATAGGCTATAGGTCTCTGTTGACAGTATAAGGAGGATCTACCTTTTCAAACATGTTCTGCCCAAGAGAGCGTGAAGTGTAGGCTGCTAATAATTCAAGTCATCATAACGGACTCTCTTAAATCAATGAGTGTTTTGGTGTGGCCAACAAAAGGAAACACATTTAGCATTCAGAATGGTTTAGCCCCTGTAGTCTTCATCTAAGTCTGCTTGTGTGGAGCTGTCTGCTTGCATTGCAACACCATCAAACATATTTGTTCCTCTGCCAGGCTTAAATGCTCTTCTGAGCTTGGAACTACAGAACAGCTCTCCAGTTTCTCTTCCAGAAGCAATATAGCGGCATTAAAGGCAGGCAATCAGTGTGTGTGTGTTTGTGTGGCTTAAGGACTGTGTGGTGGCTTGAGGATCCTCTTAACACGATTGTCCCGTGATTATTGCAACCAAACCCTTGGCTCCTTTGTTCGCCCACATACTGTGTAACCACTACAGGTACCCTATGGATGCCCTAAAGTTGTACTTCCATCCAACCTACACCACACACACTTTCACTCTCTTTTTCACGCACACACACAGACATCCTCCTCTGGCCAGCACTGCTGCCTGATGCCTCTGAGACATCCTGGTCTTCATTGCTGGCAATGAACTGAGCCATGCTTTAGTGGACTGAGAAAGGGTGGGAAATAGAAAGCTCCCTCCTTCCTCTTTGTTGCCCTTCTTTATATCCTATTGACTGTTCTGTTCCTCATGTGTTTTGGGGTTTCAGTGTAAGATTTAATCACCAGATTTACACTGATTGCCCTCATGTCAGTGAATATACTCAGTCCAGGGAAATCATAAATGTATTACTGTAGTCAAAGTCCTTGCTAGCAGTCAGCTTCCAAGTTCCAACAAATTGCTTTGTCTTGATACATTTTGACAATTTCTCAGGTCATTTCAATAATGAAGAGCAGGAGCTGGACATTGACAAAATCCTGCTGCCTCAGGTCTTCACACTTGCTTGAAGAATAACCATCAAATCATTTGATTCAGTTGTATCCATTATTTCATTGTTTTCTCATTAACTCAGGACCCTTAGATTAAATTAATTTTGTTATGACTCATTCCCTTCAAGCAGCTGTTCATCTTCTCTGAATGACCTAGAATGGGAACACCCACAAGCATATGGTCATATGACTAAATCCACAAATACATGTAGTTATATAGGTAGTCTACACAGAAAATTAAGCCTTAGTAGTTAAAAAGTAAAGATGGAAAAGGAAAGACCATTTTTCCACTGACTCAAAATGAAGGGAAAACCTAAAGCCACCAGATTTGCTGTAGATTTGTGCACCATCAACAGGCCTGCTTCAGCCTCAGTGCAGAAGCAATAAGTAGACAGTAGTACTAATTAGACCGCTCAGTTACCTACAGCTGTGACTGCAGCACTGTTGAAAAACCAAAACTCCCAGTCAGCTTTCTGGGTGTGTTTCCGGGTGCAGAACAACAGTGGTACAACAGTACAGCATTACATTTCCAGCTCCTTCTGCAGTGAAGCACCTGTACTCTATAATTGTTAACTCTTTAGCTCCTTTTGAGCTTAAATACAACTGTTGTTCAGGGCCTGTCATCATGTGGTTGCCTATATGTTCACCTGTTAAATGTTGATGACTAAAATTCGGCTGATATCGGATTTATTTAAAAGGTTAGTGCCAGCACTGATGCCAGTCCAGTATATCAGACCAATGCATAGCAACCTGGCATGACCAGCGTCCTTTCTCCTGCACTTTACCATGTTTACAGTTGTGTGAGGAACAGTTCTCCATGCTCCTGTTGGTCGTTGTCACAGTACTTCATAGAAAGAGAAAAAAGTGGTCTGATCCTGGCAATAAATGCTTCACTGGCTTCATGTAGTTTGTACTAAATATACAAAATGTATTAAATATACTGTTTCCTCATTGGATCATCTTTATATCCTTACATTCAGAGAAATGTCTTTTTGCAATAAAGATATGACTTTACCTACAATATCTTGTATCTTACACAATATCTTGTAACATCTGCAGAGGATATGATCTAATCTTATCAGATGAAACCACAGAACCAAGGAGCTATTGAATTTCATGCCTCAGCAAAAAAAAACCAAAAAAAAAAACCATTCTGTTCAGAGTAAATCAAATGAAAATTGAATGGACATACTTTACATAAATAGGTACATGTGTGTGTGCACACATGCATTAACAGTTGCATATACTGAATGTACTGTAGCTACATAGGCGAAGCTTCATACATGAAGACACATAGGTTACAACGTGCACCATACGCTTAATGGGCTGGTCACAGCACAGTTAGTAACCACTGTGGATCCTCCTGTGTCACTCAATGTGTCACAGACAGGCCGTGTAAAAAAACCCTGGAGAGCAAAAACATGCTGTCTACTGTACTTTTTCTGTGCTTGTACTTGCTGTGACTTTTCGCCTCATATCTCTTCTCTCCACTATCTCTCTCTGTAATGTCTTTTGCACTCACACACACTGTCAGTTGTGTGTTACTGGAAGGTAATTGGTTCCTTCTGTCAGGTTTGCTCGGCCGCTCTGGCCTCCCTCACCTTTCCTGCTGTCTCTTGGCCATTAACACTAATCACGTTCACCTGTTCCTCACTCCCTTATCACCAGCTGCACTTGATTAGGTTGCTCACTATATTACCTGATTTCACTCCTCAGTCACTTGCCAGTTCGTTCTAGTCTCTAGGCCTTTTTTTTTTCTCCATGCTCTTTCGTTGTTTTGTATGCATTTATTCCCTAGCCAGCTACTGTTTTGTGTTCCCCCCATGGACTGTTCCTCCGGACCGTGGCTCCACTCTCCCCTCCCAGGCAGGTCAATGCACAGTCGCCTATCTGTTCCACTATTGCCTTCATCTCTCTGTCTCCACCTTCAGTAGCCACCATCACCACCGACCAGCCCAGGAGTGACCCAGCCTATGCAGCTCGGCCCAGCTCTCCATCTCCTCGCCTCCTGCTGTTGGTCAAACACCCGGCTACTACTCATCGACAGGACTACGCACTATTTCCCTCTGTGTATTTTTACTCTCATCATCACTGTACATAATAAATCACTGCTTGCATCAAAGTCGGCTACCTGGGTCCGCCTCTTTCTCGTTCGCTCACTGACAGGTGCGAACGGCACATAACACCTTCACAGTGTCCACCACTTGCTCCCAAGCACATCCTGGTGTGCATATGCTTGATCAAAGAGCCTCCCACTGGCCACGAGTCTTTCTGCAGGACTCATGTAGCCGTGAGAGGCTGGGATAGACTCATTGCTTAGCTTTCTAATTCAAAGTCGTTGTAGCTATTTAAAGGTGCAACACATGACTCCCATCACAAAGACGGGAAGGGAAGAGTTATAAAATGAAACATGACTGTCCAGTTGACTTCACATGACTTTCATCAGCAGAGACAAAGTCAGGACAACCACATTCTAAAACTTGAGAAGTAAGCTGATAAAAGACAAGTCACACTTTGTTAATAACTTAACTAAGGTTGTGAACATATGGTATGACTTGTACTTGCTAAACATACATGTCCTGAGATTAACATCACTGTGCTTACATAAAGCCTCACAGAGCTGCTGGCTCGACTGTAGACTCGGCCTCATTGGGTTGTGCAGTTTTGCTAGACCTGTTAGTATTGCATTAAAGTAAAGATCATATGAGTGTACTAAATGGTTTTATAAATCCATTATGTTCAGAATATATTTCCACAGCTGGAGCAGGTGAAATTACATGTAACTTAATAATAATAATAAGAGGGGGGCTGAAAAGAAGACTGATCTTCATAAATCATCCTCAGTCGTTAATGTTTTATCTCTCGGTGCCATTTGCTTTCACTGTGTGATGAGTAGTAAAATCAGCATCCAAATTCAAATGAAAGTGAAAGTGCAAAGGTTATAATTAGGTTGTGTTAAATTAAGGCCAAAGTGGCAGAACAAAGGGTATTAAGGGAGTGTCTGGGCAAACAGAGGAAGAAAAAGAAGCATATTGTTGGTCACAGTGAACACGAGATTTAATTAACTGACTGATTACAGTTGCCCTGATTTCCCTTCACACAATTAAAGACTTAAACAAGGTTCTGGCAGTGCAGCGAATTCGAGAGCAGTGGGCAGTTTTGAAGGCAGGTACCAAGAGCTGGAATGGTACAGGCGTCTCTCTCGAGAGGCCTGTTCATTAAGCTTTAAGACTCAGCTTTCCTCTGCCAGTGACCTCAAAACTTCGGGAGACTTCTGAAGCCCTACAGCATAATGTAACTTTTCATCCATACAGTGCTGTAGACTATTGGAACAAGATTTTGGGGTAAATTTAAGCCACTGTGTGCTCTTCATTTTTTACTGCAGAATTTTCTTCATGTTTTTAAGTTTTTGTGGAATTACTTATGGTCTGAAGTCATATGTGTGTTTGTCATTGTTTTATATGCAGCAGATGTTGTGATTATATAAGTGTTGTGAGTGTTTTAGAGATTGAACTTTTAGCTCAGTAAGCTGAGTCCACCCCTGAGATTGGAAATTAAAATGTTATTTTTTGAAGCTCTTTTCACTATGTTTCCATACAATCATTGTTAGGCTGTAACATTTGTTGACGTACTTAAATTAAATTATATTATTTCCCTGTCTTCAGCAAGTCTGATTTGTGTACACGAGATAATGAACCAGTCTCTCAAAATGAGAAACCAGACGTCTGGGATGTCTGCAAGATATTCACTTTAGTGTTCTCCCAACAGTAATAAATGGATGAGCTTCTTATGAGCTATGAAAATGAAATATTTGTTTGAGCTTAGCAGTTCTTTACAAAAATAGTTTTATGAAAGCACTGTCTGCACTCAAAGTCCACATGCCTTTTCATTTTTGGTCTGTGTCTCTATAGAAAACAAAAATATCCACATGCCTCTGACTTGTAAAGAGTAAACCGACTCACACAGAAAGAAAGTGTCCCATTAAAGGACCATGTTTTATTTAGCTGTTGTCAAGGAAACAAACTTTTTTCAGTGAATGTGGCTATTTGTGTGTATATGGGCCGTGCCCCATTTGCCCTTTTGGGGAAGCACATCGTCCTCCATCTCTAAAATGGTTCATGCAGCTCCACAAATGCAAGTTTGATGGTTTGAGACTGTACCGAACAAGGTGCACATCACTTCTTGTAGTGGAAGCTGTTGTGTGGAGAGGTTGGCCTCAAATGTTGTGTCCATGTTTTTGCCTAAACAAATGATCAGTTAGTTAAAAATCTAAGGGGATACAGTAAGATTGAGTACTAGTGTTTCAAGGGCTGCCATATGGGAAAGCTCAAACTCTCTCTGGTGTTTTGTGTTTAGTTACTAATATATATAATATATTGTTTGGACATACTGGTTCTTTTCTTGTTCTCTCAGTCTGTTTATGATTGCCTTGCGGAAGACCATTGTACGTGCACACTGAGAGCCAGTGTACTAAAGTCAAATACCTCGTGTGTTCAATGCACCTGGCCAATAAAGCTGATTCGGTTATGGGCTTGGAGAATTTCTCAGCACCCACATTTTAACACAGTGAAAGTGATGCTGTTTTCTCTTGTAGTTGCTCCAATTTTTGTTTTCTTTTTCACTTCTTCTGTGTTTCATTAGGCTGTGTTTCATCAAAAGCAGAGGACAGGCTGTTTCGGAGGTTGTTTCGGCGGTACAACCAGTTCATCCGACCAGTGGAGAATGTATCTGATCCAGTCACAGTGGAGTTTGAGGTCTCTATATCTCAGCTGGTCAAAGTGGTAAGAAGAGAGTTTGATTTAAAACTGCTGGGTTCTAAACAAACAAACAAACAAAAACATGTTGTGTAAAAGCTAATTCCATTCATCAGAGTTGCTTTTTCCTTGCTGACCTTTTTTCCTTTCCAGGATGAAGTGAATCAGATAATGGAAACCAATCTGTGGCTCAGACATGTGAGAGACATTCATCCTTTATGTGATGTCTGCCACATTATTTGTACACACTGAAGTATGCTAACTCCTGTTTGCTCTTTAGGTCTGGAATGACTACAAACTGAAATGGGTCCCTGCTGAATATGATGGGATTGAGTTCATACGAGTTCCATCCAATAAGATCTGGAGGCCAGACATATGTTTGTACAACAAGTAAGTTTAAAATCATAAATGGTAAGAGCTGAACAGCTCAGCTTGCTTAATGCGCTTTCTCAAGCGCATTTTTTTTAAATAAAAATCTAGATGATGTGTGCAGTATGTGTCAGTTCCACTACTCATAAGATGGCTCCAACTTCCCACTAGTACCATAATGTGTTATGAAAGCAGAGTTTGCCTTGTAACTATTTCATTAGTTACATTTACTTAATCTTTTTCATACATGCTCGCTATCTTCTGACCTTTTCAATTAAATGTTGTGATGGGATTTAGTTGTAATGACATATGTCTTCTCAACAGCGCTGTAGGTAATTTTCTTGTGGATGACAAAACCAAGGCTCTGCTGAAGTTTGATGGCACCATAACCTGGGTTCCTCCAGCTATTTTTAAGTCTTCCTGCCCCATGGACATCACCTACTTTCCCTTTGACTACCAAAACTGCTCCATGAAGTTTGGTTCCTGGACTTATGACAAGGCCAAGATTGACCTGGTGCTCATTGGCTCAAAGGTCAGATGGGATCTCTGAGACACAGGGGACAGACCTTGGCTTGTGTAATTTGATTGTATATGCCACATTTAACTGACTTAAAAAAAAAAAAAAAAAGAAAGAATATTCAGATAATGCTGAAAGCTCTAATTTTTTAGTTTTGGGCAAGGGAAGGACCCAAATATGCAGACGCAAGCCAAGGCAGAGGCCAATAGTATTTTAATGCACCACAAAACAAGAAACAGGAACAAAATACAAGGCTCAACCTGATGTAGTAAAACAAAAAGTACAAAACTAGGTCAGCCTTTTATGGGCTTATACCTTCTATTTAGACAACAAAGTGAATAATTTAAATTAAATCCCATCATTTTTACACCAGAAATACTTTAAAGGTGCTTCATGAATTACAAGTGGAAACTTCTAAAGATGCTGAACTATCCACATTTTTGTCTTTGACTCAGTTTGAAGCTTCATACAGAAAAATGTTTTCCTTAAAATAATTTGCATTCACTTCACATCTGGATTTTTCCAGGTGAACCTGAAAGACTTCTGGGAAAGTGGAGAGTGGGAGATCATCGACGCACCAGGATACAAGCATGACATCAAGTATAACTGCTGTGAAGAGATTTACACAGACATCACCTACTCCTTCTACATCCGCCGCCTGCCCCTCTTCTACACCATCAACCTCATCATTCCCTGCCTGCTTATCTCCTTCCTCACAGTGCTTGTGTTCTACCTCCCGTCTGACTGTGGCGAGAAGGTCACTCTGTGTATCTCCGTCCTCCTCTCTCTCACTGTGTTCCTGCTGGTCATAACTGAGACCATCCCTTCAACGTCACTTGTCATCCCTCTCATTGGCGAGTATCTTCTCTTCACCATGATTTTTGTCACACTCAGCATTGTCATCACTGTCTTTGTGCTGAACGTCCACTACCGCACGCCCATGACTCACACGATGCCGGAGTGGGTGAGGACTGTGTTCCTCGGGGTGCTGCCCAGGGCCATGCTGATGAGGCGGCCTATTGACCAGAGCTGCTCTTCCACTGCAAGTATTACAGGAGGGATGGTAGGAGGAGGTGGAGGAAACAAAAAGAGAAAGACCAGCATAGGAGGAGGATCAGGAAGTGGATCGGGAAGTATAAGTGTTGGGGGTATAACTGGAGGTGTAGCATGTCCACCTCTGGATAATGGCTCAGAGGCAGGAGAAGCTTCTACAGCTGGTAGCTCCATGAACTGTGTGGAATATGGCGATATGAACAGGAGGTTCCATTATAGAGGCAAAGAAGTACCAACTCCTGTCCCTCCCCCAGTGGTGCCACCTCTGCAGATGCCCCAGAACAAGGGACCCCAGGAGTCAGAGCTCTCTAAGCTATCAAAGTCCCTGAATGCCACATCGTCTGTCAACACTGTTGTCGCCTTCTCTGTGGTGTCGCCAGAGATCAAACAGGCTATCGAGAATGTGAAGTACATCGCAGAGAACATGAGGACTCGCAACAAAGCCAAAGAGGTACATAAGAAAGCTTGAGTTGTCTGTGTGTGAAGTCCGTCTGTGCATCATGATCAAATGCTAAAAAGAGAAGACATTACATATTTGCAACTATTTTATTGTATGGATGACATTAAGTACTTTGGCTTATATGATAGTAAACAACATGAGAGTTAAACAGTTGAGACAAAACAAGCAATTTAAAGACCTCACCTTGGATTTCAAGAAAAAGTCATTTTTCTAATTTCTGAAACTGTACAGATCCAATGATTAATTGATACACTGAAAAAATAACCATAGTGGCAACCCCATAGTTTAGCCATTTGCCAAAATACAACACAGTACAACAGAACACAACAGCAGGAAACAAAAACACACAAACTAGTATCTAGTGAGGAAATTGTACTGTCTTGCAATCATTCTCTGGCAGTAGCATGACCTCGCTATTTAAAAAAAGGAAAATACATAGTGCTGCAATGGGGGAGAAATCAAATGATCCAATTTATTTATACATGTATTAAAATATACTAACTGGATAAAATGATGAAATGGTATTTCTGAGTGAATGTGGGAATATATAATAATGTATGGGATAAATGAAAGATCATCTAAACAGAACCAAACAAAAGAAGGTGCATAGTGTCAGGGAACAAACAAGAGAAAGAAGATTTTCAGATCTTGGGCACTAGATTTTTGTTCCTAGATCAGTGTGCATTGTCCCTGCAAAGTTCACGGCATACAAATAAACATAAACACACAACAGCAAAGTGTTATCTCTACTGTGACTGGATTTCTACCTAGCTTGGTAAATTGTGTTGAAGCCATTTACACCGAGCTATAAAGGGACTGTAAAGCTGCTTGTTTGTTGCAGATGGAGAGCTTGGCGTACGCCTCTGTTGCCCTCTGGATGGTCCTGATATGTTTGTTGCTTCACATCCATCCATTGTTAGCAAAGCTCAGCTCTCTTTTCCATGTATACAGAGCAGCCACACTGCCTTATAGTTAGACAATGGCATTCTGGTCAGGGCAGTCATGATCTTGTTGTCCATACCTGACTGATCAAGGACTGTATATACAGTACTGTATACTGTACAAACTCTAACAACAGCCAGATGCACTGGGGGTTCTCTCAGCCCATCTTAGTCACACAGCCATACAGCTCGAGTGCTCATACAGTGATGAGCAGTGAATGTGACAGTTTGTGCTATTGCTAGAAATTTCACAGTTACTGTTAAGGAGAGATATTTTAGGTGTTGTAGGGAGGAGAGAGAGAGAGAACTCACTGCTGTTAGATATGAATGTGTGTTCCCTAAATAGGTTTTACTTTTCCTACTTCCACATACATTTAAACTCACTTCTTTGCTCTCCTCAGATGGAGGATGACTGGAAGTATGTCGCCATGGTCATCGACAGGATCTTCCTCTGGGTTTTTGTGACAGTTTGTGTGCTGGGAACTCTGGGACTCTTTCTTCAACCACTTATCAGCTTCTTAAAATGAGACGACTGTCTTTGTTCTCACTCGCTCTGTTTTTGTCTGCTTCCTTGAGTCTCTGTAACCCATGTGAATTACTTTGGGAATTATCCCTCCTGCCATGCTTTCACATGAAAGACAGCGCTCTCTTCTTTCCTCCATTCTAAATCTGTCTCTCCTCTTTCTGTCTTTTGCTTTTCTTTGATAATCTGTAATCGGCTATCACTTCTAGCCCTCAGCTGTCTGTTTCCTCACATGACTTACCCAGAATTTCCCATTGCTCCTTTATCTTATCCCATCTGCTATGTGCACTCCATGTTTTCTGAAAGACTTTTCCTCTGTTTTTCTGTTGTGCCACTGCCTACAGCACATCTCTTCATAGTGCACTCGCCCATTGCAGCCACTCGTCTTTACACTCCTACTATTATTGAACATGTACACTCAATGTCTTATGCAATATGTAGCATTCCAGGTAATTATTAAAGTAATTATTATTATAATTACTGTACTATAGAGGAACCTCTTAAGATTCAGATCATTAAGAAAGAAGAAACTAAATACATCTGAATGAGTTTTGAAGTAGCACTTTGTCATTGTAAACCAGTGCAATAAGGACAATACACTTTTGAGAAATGTGGTCATTCTATAAAGTCTTAGTTAAAAGAATTACTCGAATGTGGCAGTGATATGTATGATCTTGTGACGTAAAGGTCATTTAATGGCTGGAACATTTTCTTTAGGGTGGTGATCTTGTTGTCAGATATCTGCAATCACCTTTATGTTTCCCTGTATATACAGTAACATTGTTTTGCATGGCTTCTGAGAAGCACACTAGCAGTGGCTGTACAGACTGTGTATTTCATATGTGGTCACACTAGGTATAATTACACACTGCACATAAAGTTGCAACATCAATGCAAACTGTTTAGAAATACTGTCAACTGAACAATGTAGATTAAACTTGTAAAAAGACAATGTAACTAAACAGACTCCAGTAATTTCCAATAATAAAGAAAGTCCTGGACTCACGCTCTATGTGACATGTACATGTCTGTGATCCCTGTGTTGGTTTCCTTCTCTCCCGCAGTCTTAAGACATTCAGATAAGGTGAAATGGAGACAGTAAACTGACTGTAGTTGTGAATGAAGCTATCTGTCTATGTTGTCACCAGCCCAAGGAGTACCCTGCTCCTGGCAGTTCCCAGTCCCCGATGACCCTTAACAAGTTGGTATAAAATGGATATAGAACGTAACGTATATTAATGCATATGCTGTAGCATCAAGAAAGAAGTGGCCTGAAAGAGAGCATTCTTCTTGTTAAGTATCAAGAAAGGTTTAATATTCACTTTGAATATGTAGCACAGCATAACCGCTTGTCTTTTACTTATGTCTATATATTGCAGTTATAGCAGAAAAAGGATGGATGGCACATTAGGGTGCTCTCTTGTGCAGCCAGGAGCAGAACGGTATGTTCCTGTAGCCAGTCAACCGTGGATAAGTGAAGGAGACTCTCCTTTAAATAATTCATTCCAATGGAAACGCACACACACGTATGGTCACATGAATGTCTTCTTCTTGAAGTAGAATACTGCATGCACACACACACACAGTTGCACATGCTCAAAAAGAGCAGGCTTCTAGATTTATGCTGGTGGTGGCCTATGTATATGCTGATTTTATTTAGAGTAAACCTACAACTTTGTCAAACAAAATCTATTTTCATAATGTGTTGAAGCCTCTACACACCAGTAGGTCCCACTGCTGAGATCTTTTCAGGACTGTTTTATCCAGTCAAACAGTACATTTAAAATCTTTTTTGGCACATGATATTTTGTCAATTTAAACATTAGTAATAAAGCCCAGTTTATCTAATCTAAACATAAACAGCACTTTGTATCTTTAAGTGCTGTTATAGAGATTATCACCGCCCAGATTTTGATTAAAAATAGTTCATTGTACTTCAGTGTTAGTCCTCTGGCTCACCTTGCTCTGCCAAGTTTCAAGAGGGAGTCACGCACTTCAAGTAGGCCTGGCGAGGTTAGAGTTTAGCTTTTCATGTTCTTATTGGATTTTCCAGATGCTGGGAGGCCTCCCAGCAGGGGATTTTGTCCCAGTCCTGCAAAGTGTTATGCCATTGATGCAGGGATACTTTAGACAGTTTAATACCGATGTTGTCATCGGACCTGGTTTATGCGGTACCAACCGGGGATGCGTTTGGGTTCTTGGGAGGGAGCCTGGAAAAGACAGATGACTCTAAAAAAAAAAAAAAAAAAGCTTGTGGACACCTGATTTGGGTGTATTTACCTTATTGTCTGTGATGACAATGACAGCAGTGATGCTATGAAGCCTGATTGTCAAGTACACGGGTTGACACCATATTGAACATATTACTGAGTTTTACTCTAACTCTCTTATAGCAAGATTATCCTGTGGGCTGAATTGTCTCAAGGCTAACAGGCTTTGTATGGAAGGAACTGAGCTCTGCAGGGACAGTACCTCAGTTATTAAAGTGAAAATTGGCCCTTTGCAGTATGTCATGTCTTGTGAGCTCTTAGCTTGGCAGCATGAATTAGCCTGTCCTCTTTTCTAACTCCACATATACAAGGTACACTGACAGTGTTTTCTAAGCTGACATGTAAATTAGAAGTGAGAGAGTAGAGAACCAACATGGGAGACAGTTGTAGTGTCAAATCAGTGATAGTTACACTGCTTTTTGAAAACATTACAGGTTGTGTGTGTTAATCTTGCTAAACCAGTGCAGAGTGACAGTCGGTTCTAGGGTAAAGGAAGCCAGGGCTTCTCCTCACTACAGAGAACGAGGCCAACTGAGTTGACTCGCATCATAAGAGGCTTTTCTCCTTCCCCTTCTTCTCAGTGTGTGAAAGAGTCCGAGCTTTCAGGTTACTGGTAGTTTGGACAGTTGTTGAGTCCCTCTTTAAACCTGTGTATTTGCTGGAGAAGTGACTGAGATAGTCAGGAGATGTGCAGGGACCTAGAGAAATAGAGTTGAGGCAAATACAGGCTAGATCATGGACCCCTACTGAGCTGGAACTGTGTGCCATGGTTGTGTGGTTTCTAAAACCAGACAGGGATCCCTCTGGTTTTGTGAATCAGCTGACATGGTATGCTGTTATGATCCTACTAAAAGACACATTGTTGAATTGATATGTTTAAAGGAGGATAAGGATAATCACCTTTATTGGCCACGTATGTTACACACAAGGAATTTGTTTCCAGCATAGAACCAAGGCAGCCATCTGCGGCGCCAACTCAACCGATGGCTCTAACCATCAGGGACAACGGGGTGTCTTGTCCAAGGACACTTTGACTGCAGGCACCGAGATTTGAACCTTCAACCTTCCGGTTGGGAGACAACTGCTCTACCCACTGCACTGTCACCTCCCCTTCAAGGGCTAGATTTGGTGAGATGGACGCCAGCTGTGACTATTGCAGTTTAAGATGAGGATGCACAGAGTAGACCTGACTGGATAAAGGCATATAAAACTCAGTTACTGTGCCCATAGACTGGGAATAGTGGAGGGACAAGAAGCAGCACACCTCTCACTTCCACTTATCTGTATTTGAGTTTTACATTTTTAGACTAACAGACCTGCATTTCTTATTCTCAATGAACACACTTAGTTTCAGGACCATGCTTGTGGTGACTAGATCTTCCCCTCCTCCTCCTCTTTCTAAACTGACTGCACTGTTCCACAGCACCCTAGCCGAATATCTGAATGCACCAGTCAAGAGAGTGAAGCCACTGTTAGGGAAAGTGTGCAGGTAGACGGGCTATAATCTTTGATATGTTAGAGAAAAGTACATTGTACCACCTGGTTGGAAAGTTGCTGTTTGCTGTTGCACCAGAGAAGCTGATGTGGGATGCTGGGACCCAGACGTTGTCATGTTCAGCTGTGAAGAAGATGAAGACCCTGCTGTACCAGACCCTCATTGACAATAACTCCTCTGCACCATGAGTTGTTGATCTCTTCAGAAGCATCAGGTATCCACCTCAGTCCTCTTCATTAAATCTTTATTGTCTTTGTACTTAAGATTGGGTGACTTTTTATTTATTTTTTTGGACTCTGATGCCCAATCTTAGGAAACTGAAGCATGGAGAAAACAACCTGCTGACGCAAACGGGACCATGAGGAGGCTGCTACAGACGTCCACACCAGCCTCTTTGGTCCTGCGAGTTGTACTTAAGATTGGGTGACTTTTTATTTATTTTTTTGGACTCTGATGCCCAATCTTAGGAAACTGAAGCATGGAGAAAACAACCTGCTGACGCAAACGGGACCATGAGGAGGCTGCTACAGACGTCCACACCAGCCTCTTTGGTCCTGAGAGTTGAGACTGACTTGATGAGATCTTGAAGGGACTGTTTCAGCTGAAGCTTTACCTGAGTCTACCTCCGCCTTGGATGAGATGACTGCAGCTGCTGAACTGTAACCTTTCCATGGGAGTAGTTTTTTTTTTTTTTTTTTAAGTTGTCAGAGTTCCTAGACTCTATTTGATGACTTTGTTAGAATTTTGGAACTTTACCGCAGAGTTGCACAAAGCTAGGTCATTTTTCCATCATTAAATAGTGGAAGAACCTGGACAGGCTTAGTGGTTAGACTGAACAATTCTCCATACACATGAAGTTGTGCTGTGACATGTCTTGTTAAGTGGAATTGTGCTGTTTTTCTAATTCGTCACTGCCCAGATTTTAATAACTTTATTTTACTCTAGGGATAAACTTCTGAGTTGTCTCACTCTGCCAAGTTTTGCGGAGGAAAAGTTTTGCGTTTGGTATTAGATTTATTAGATTTTCCCGACATGGGAGGCCTCCCAGCCGGGGAGTTTATCCTACCCTTGTAAATTATCATCACTGACGTAGGGATATGTTTAGCAGTTTCATGGGTAGATGGGATTGTTGTCAGACCTCTGTTCCATAGTATGGATGTTCATTTAGCATCCAAACCATAAGGAAACACAGAAGAGGAAAATGCAGAAATATGGGATAGAATGAAATAAGATTAGCTATTAAATAGACAGTCTCATGTTTGAAAACTGAAATTTCATGATCTTGATTAACCTTCTTTCAATGTTGTTTCAGCACCATGGACAGTGACTAAAACACAACAGAGCCCTGACACCCCCAGGTCACCTGTGACAAAACCACATCCCATCAATGAATGTACTGTTGGGTTTTGGGGCCAAAACAACAGTTTAATTAGCTGTTTATGTGGACAGCATTGTGTAATTTACATAACATAAACGCACACCTAGCCATGCTCTTTGTATACGCACCTCCTCAGGATGCACATCCCTGAGGAGAAACCACATCACTGCAATACATATACATACAAACATATATATATATACTGTATATCTTTGTACACACAAACAGGCCAACACACACACTTAAATACATAGCATGTGCATAGCAAAAACAAAACCAAAAATATGCAAATGCAGATTTGCATCAGCACATGGATCAGCACAGGTCAGAGGCACAATTTTGCATATATACACATTACAAAAGCACACTCACACATACAGACACTCATATCCACAGACACAGGATAAGATGAACACACAAAGCACAGCTGAGTCATTTCTGATAACATCTGTGGTGTGCCAGAGTTCATTCTCAGTCCCTGCCAACTGGCTATGGACTGAAGTGTTCTGACAAACACATCTGTTTTCATCCCCCATAGGGACTTCACATTGACTAACGTTTACTTTATGAAGACTTGCCCTAATTCTAATCATAGCCATGAACCACCTAACCAAAACTTTTACCCAAACCCCAGCTTATTCCTGACCTTACCAAAACTTAAACCATGTCATCACTTTAAAATTTTATGAAGTACATGGTGAGGACGAGCATTTGGTCTCCTTGAGGATGGTGACAATGTGAGTAATATCAGGCACACACTCAAACACATAAACATTGCTGCTGCACATTATTATTGCTTCTTAGTCGTTCCTACATTGTGTGAAGGAGACAGTACTGTGACACTGCCCTGCAGGTGGGAGTTTCAATCAGTGACCTTTTCTTCTTATCATGTCATCTAGATGAAAACAAACGGAAAACCAACACGAGCTTTCCAGCTTCAACCGTCATGTTAGGGGTCTATCAGTGTTTTGTGTGGCTGATATTGAAATGTTATAACAGACATTAGACCCTGAAAGTCTTCCACCCCTTTGCAGAAATGAATGGGTTTATGCTGAATAGGCATTTCTCTTAATCCTGACTTGCTTACAGTAACTTTCCTTGCATCACTCTTGTCTACATGCTGCCAGCTTTGACAAAATCTTCAGTGCCATTTCTGGTTGGTACTCTAGAAGATTAAAATATCAAATAAATAAACTTACATTACCGATGGTTATAGTGGTGATTTTTTGCATCAGATCACTTAAAAAAGATTTTTATAAAGGTTTTCATCCTTTAAAAGCTACTTTGGGCTCCACTGATATTCCAAATCGTATAAGATTATCACGTTTTCACTTAAAGTGCTGTTGGTAGCATTAGTGGATGAAACAGTGTGAGGTCACAGGCTTTGTGTGTTTGTTCTAAGCTTGTGTGAGATTTGAATTCCATTGCTGCAAAAATCTTTACAACAAACAGATTAACATTAATCTCACAGGCCCTGGGAAACAGGGCTGCTTTCTCTCATTTATTAATTATTTCTGCACCAAGTGAAATTATGCAGATTTTAATTATGAGCTCAACAACAGCTGAGAAAAGAAAAAACATCACCACACAGAAGCACAAGGACGACACTCTCACACACAAACAAGCTTTAATATTTGGTAAACACACACAAAGATGCATAAAATATACTGTTCTCTCTTCACCTTTTGTCTTCTCTCTCTCATTTTATCTCTCACACATACATTAACTAACACTATACACATGCACAAACATTGAGTACAGCTCCACTCGGTTGTCTGGGAAGGGACCAGTCAGTTTCCAGCCTGCGAGAATTTATGTTTTCACATGATTAGAGGCGAGGCGGCGGACGGGCCGATCTCAGAGGCAGCAGCTGCCTGCCCCGTGGCTCCAAGTGGAGCAGAAAATCAGGATAATTTCAATGTGATAATCAACCTCACATTACCCCCCATCTTTTCAGCCCACGAACAAGAAGGAGAAACATTTGTGACAGAGAGAAAAAGAAAGTAAGGAGAGCAAGGAATAAAATTACTAGCTAGAAATGTGTGCTTTGCACCTGAATAGCTGCAAAACATATGTAAGTGATTCAATACTTAAAACTCCATATATGGGAGAACCTTTTTTGGGGCTGTATACTGATTATATTCTGTCAGATCTGCACTGCAGTTATCTGACTTCCTGCTATAACAATAATGGCAAATTCTGCATTTTGGTTTATATGTGACAATAAAAACTAGTGTGCTACATGAACCTGTCCTGAGAAAGGTGGAGACGGTCCCATTGGTATTAAGTATTAAAAAGGCAATAATGTTCATGTGACTGTGTCTTGTAGAGAACCTTTAGTTTTTCTATGTAAAACAAAAAAACTAAAAAAACACTATGGAAAACTTTACAAAGGAATATTTTTAGAACTTTTTTTATTACTATGACTAATAGTATTATTATTAACACTGCTGTAGTATTGTAGTATGTACTTATACTACTTTTATTACTGACTTATTTAAGAGGTTGAAGAAAGATTTTTAACTGAACAAAATTAAGGAAACAAAATGAGATAAGACAAAGTTCCAATATCAAAGTCAGAATTCTGAGATTAAAGTCAGATAAATGTAATTAAATGCTTTTTTAATATATGTTAAATGTTGCCACATATTAAATATGGTAATGCAAATTAAAAAACACAGACTACCAAGTAAAATAATGAATCAAAGTAAAATGTGCTATTTGGCTTCATTTTTCCGTAGGAAATCATTAAACAAAGCGAAACGTCTTTACAGTCAGTTAATGTCTAACAACCCATGTTAATGTTCTTATGAGCGCTCTCCAGTGGACGAGCAGCGACGGACACACAAATGGACTCAGGACCTCGGCAGGTTCCACCAAAATTTCCTCCAAAACATTAAAAGAACAATATAACAACATAATATTTTTTGTAGTCCTGATCAGGAATATTATATTTGTATTTTTTGCGCATTATAAGCCAGCAACACTATAGAATTAAGAAAAAAAAAAACGTTTAGGAGTGTTTAACTCCCACGCCGCGGCCCCACCCGAGTATCGCTGCGTGCACCTCCCCCCTCTTTCAGACAAACGCCCCACTGTCCACCAGTGACGCCCAGGCAGTCAGAGTGTACGGGCCCCGCCACATGCGCCCTCACACCGGGTCCCTACCATCCGTTTATTGGCAGCAGGAGACTTGTTGTTGTTACCGAGTACTACTAATGGAAATCTCGGTGTTTAACAGCCGATAGGAACCGGAGGTTTCAGGAGCGCTCTGTCGGAGCAGGACAACATCATGAAGTTGGCGGTCCTCTTCCTCCTCCTGTCGGTGTTCTGCCCGCTGTTCCTCGCCACCAACGCCGGTAAGAAAACGCTAGTGTGTTTTTTATCCAAACATTTAAAACTTCACCACTACAATTTCGCTTCTTCTTGGACAGCAAGGTGAAAAGATCACCACAGAATGATCGTGTGGTGCAGCACTGATGTGTGATGAGGATTTAAATCAAGTCTGCACAACCTCTGATGAGACAACCTCGTCTTCCACGGTCACTCACTGCGTGTTAAAAAAGTAGTATTGACTTAGTTTGTTATACACTCTGGTTTGTTTCGCATAGCTTCTGCCTGTTTTTGTTATTCTCGCCATCTCATAACTGTGCTCCAGAAAATTACAAAAAGGAGCAGGCTAAAGGAAATAGGATGTATTTAAATTACGCAGGTCAACTTTTAGAGGACAGTTAAAAGGAAGCCATCAAAGAAACACATTTGTTTCTGCTTTGTAATTGCATTAACAATGACGAAATAGAAAAAAAAAACACTATTTGGAGCTAACAAAAGTAATCAGATGCCCAGGAGCTTTCTACTAACCTAGAATTATTTCAACAATCAGACAGGATTGTGAGCATCGTGTGGAGTTGGGCAGTAATGTGCTAGGGCTCTGGTTGTGCAGAGACTGATTGGTCATCAGATAAACAGGAGCACAGGTGTCGGATGTCCGCCTCCAGCTCTCTGCACCCCTCACTGAGAAAAACGCACAAAGACGTGTTCCAGTCAGAGCAAAATGTTCATTAATGTGCTGGTTTTATTTGCTTGCTGGATACTTTCCATGTCCAGTGAGAGGATGTGAAGCCAGCGGAGATACCAGCAGCGGGTTAAAAGGTCTATACTCTCTCTGCCTCTCCCTCACCACACACATTAGTTCTTGAACTTGATGTCCCCTGTGTCTGACGTCATAGCTGTCTCTTGTTAATATTTCTGTCTCTCTCCCTCAAGAGACATCATTTCACTTTAGGCTGACTGATGTGCTGACTATCCAGGTTCTGGACATGTTTTTAATATCTCTGTCCAAATAAAGTGATACTCAATTTACATATGTTTGCAAAAATTCTTTAAGCTAATTTTCAAAGTAAACAAACTCAAAAAATAATCAACCCAACATGGATTTATGCGAGTTTCTTTTTGTCAGGTGTCTCACATGCCCCAGTAGACTTTCTAGAGGAATGATCTCTAAATGTTCAAAACAATGACAAGTGTACTACTGGACCAAACTTTTATTTGATGACCTAATACAGTCAGTAATATCAAATATCAAACAGTAATATCAAACAGTGGTTAATGAGGGGGATTTGTTGGGTTTTTCCTCTATAATAATAATAATAATAATACCAGGAAGGTCTAGCCCTTACTTTGTGAAGTATCCTGAGATGATTTTTGTTGTGATTTGGTGCTATACAAATAAAACTGAACTGAATTAAATGAGTGGAAAAGTGCTATTGTAAGTTAATTTACTCCTGATTGTTACTGACATAACTGGCATACTGAGTGCAACAATTTCACTGCAACCACACAGTCACTAGTAAAGTTCCCAAAGTTGTAAATATTGAAGTAAGAAAGCATGCTGAAAGTGAATTTCACCTGAATGTCTATATGATGTCGCTGCCAGTGCTGCTCCAGGATTACTCTTCAGCTGTGCCTTTCAAAAAGTACCCAAGTACAAAATTAACCAGAGACCAGCTAAAATGACACCACTGAAAATACTGATGATCCTCAAAATATTTAGCAGGTAATCAGCTGATTATAATTTTCTACTTTCCCCCCGAAATGGTAGAGATACTGCAGACATACATAGCTGCCATAGCATAAAGCACTGTAACAATGAGCAGTCATTAATCCACATTTTTCTTATGCCAGCTCCAAATAGGTTTGTGTCCTTAGCGGAGATGGAGGACACCCTACTAAAGAACCTTTTCCAAGGCTACCAGCGTTGGGTCAGGCCCATCCAGCGGCCAAACGATACTGTTAAAGTACGCTTTGGACTCAAGATCTCCCAGCTGGTCGATGTGGTGAGGATGAATGCAAAAACATACACAATAACAAATCCATGTACTATACTTCTGTGGTTGATTCATTTCCAAACTCTTACTGTAATAGTACCTACAGAACTAAACCTTAACCCTTAGCTTAACTTAAACCGAACTCTAGCAATGACTCTAAAATCACTGGCCATGCCAGTGGATCCATCACTATAAATACACAGTTTTCCACAAAACCCTAAAACATGCATAGTTATATTTAAACTTTTTATTTAAAGTCTAGTCAAGATGCTAGGGTACAGTAGGTTTGTAGACGTATTAAAGAGCCAATCACATAGAAACATATACTGTTATCCTGTCAGAAATAACTTTCTAGTGCACCAAATTTGTAGGTAGTCCCCAGCTAATTAGCAGTTTACTTCTGTTTGGCTCAGCTATTGCAGGAAAACATTTGACCTTAAATGTAAATCAATCATGGCCAGTTTTTCAAGATCTATATCTTCATTAAGAATCTTTAGGCCTGAGACTGAGAGCCACAGATATAGTAGTCAGAAAGTAGTCTTTTTATGGGATTTGTTGACATCACCAAAGATAAACAATATTGCCAGCCTTATCTATCCTTGTGAAGAGGCAAGGACTGATAAGTTGTACTCAAAAGAAGAGAATGACTGAAGACAAAAATATAAGAAAAGTACAAATATTCGTTTGAAGTGAGAAGAAAATGTGCTTTATTGTTTTCAGCCAGTCTTGTCGCTGTCCATGGTGCTGAAACCACAGTCCACTGGCAGTGTCACAGGGTGGAGCTTTCCATGGTGCTGAAATAGATTGGAAAAACCTCATATCTGCAACTATACTGGAGTGTGTCTTTAATATTTCAGAGGCTTTTTGTGATAGGTTGAGATGGTTTAGATGTTCAAGAGTAAAAAACAGAGACAGTTAATTGGAGAACCATTCTTCTTGGCTTGAAATATTCATTTCAGCCAGTGTAGATTGAACTCTTCACCCTGCACCTAACAAGTGTGCTGGGCAAAGACAATCAGCGTTGAATTCATGACTCTGCAGAGAAGGATGGATTTGGTTGGTGATATGTTGGATTCTGGAAAAAGAGAGAGAATAAGAGGTAACTCAACAGCTTAGCTATGCTGTGTGTGTGTGCACTGAGTCGCTCTGGGATGCTGTATTAGATTATGGTTCTGCTCTGTGTGATCGCCAAAACATCCGACTCGCTCTGACAGCTGGGGCCTGATCTGGATACACTGAAAAGCCACATCTTTGAATATGTCTCTCTGACTTTGCCATATTTATTTCTTTCATTGCCTTCTTTCTCAGTTTTCCTTTTACTTCTTGAACTTCAGTGATTTGGAAATGAGCCTGTGTTAACCATTCTCCATCTCTCTAACTCTTGCTGTATTTATATTACTTCAGTTTAGTCCACTGTACTCTGGCTTCGAGGTTCTTTTTCTTGTTTGTTAAGCAATGTTTGCAAAGAAATCTATATTATATGCAGTTTGATTCCATGGAAAAGTAAACCTATTTACCTGCAAACCTATTTATATCATTGCCAGCTGCTGATGTGTATCTGAAAATTGTGAGGCTGAGTGGGAGACATCTGTATATGAGCCTACAAAAAACCTGACAGCAAGGGTTCACAGATATTGTTGATACAAGCAAAGCTTTTACCAGAAAACACAAATTACTTAGATTTAGCTCTTGTCTAGTTTGGTCTCTGTTTATAAAGATGTGGAATATAATTTGGGAGTGATGCCAAGTTTCAATCCCACGTTTTGAATTTTGGTGGTGTGACACCAAAATCCACTAATTGATATTAACTGTGCTCTAAACCTACACATTGCTGTCTTGCTTTTTGGTTAATTCCTCATTTTTAATTGTTTTTGTCTGTATTTGTCTGTTTTAGGATGAGAAAAACCAGCTAATGACAACTAACGTTTGGCTGTGTCAGGTAAGCGAGACACAAGAATGAACATGTATCAACAAATCAATAAGAAAACACAATATTTTCTCTTATACAATTTGTATAACAGGTAAGTCACAGAAGGAGACAGATATGGAAGACACAGGACTTTGGTAGATATGATCTAAATGCAGAGGCAGGAGACTAATGATAATATAATAAAGATAATTCTGATGATGCAGCATCTTTTCTCCTGTGTTTATTTACCAGGAGTGGATCGATTACAAGCTGCGATGGAATCCAGAGCGATATGGAGGAATCACTTCCATCCGAGTTCCCTCTGAAAATATCTGGCTCCCAGACATCGTCCTTTATGAGAAGTGAGACTGCTCTGAGATCAATTTCAAATAACTTCAATCTCAGCAAATATTATATGGCATCTGGGAAAATATGGATTATTTTACCAGTATGAAAACAACAAGAAGTATGTGATGTTTCAAATTATAATCAGATTCTACACAGGTATTTAACATTAGATTTATATTTAACTAAAATACTCTCATGTAATACTGAGTGGTGATCAACAGTGCTCTCATCTATACCAGTAACTGTTTTTAAGTTTCATTTGTCAGTTATTACAGATATTATTATTATTAAACACCTGTACATATCATCTTTCTTAGCTGTCAAAGTGCTTTGAATTTAAATAAAATGTACCTAAAAATAAATAGAATCGATGTCAATACAATCAAGAAAAACAGAGAGAATCTGTGAATGTAATACTGATGAGAAAATATATTTTTTGACTTTTGTTACACGTCTTCAGTGCTGATGGGCGGTTTGAAGGCTCCTTGATGACCAAAGCCATTGTTAGGTACACTGGTGCCATCACCTGGACGCCACCTGCAAGTTACAAATCTGCTTGCGCCATGGATGTCACCTTCTTCCCTTTTGACCGCCAGAACTGCTCCATGAAGTTTGGCTCCTGGACCTACGATGGCAACATGGTGGACCTGGTTCTGATGGACAACCAGGTAGATCGGAAGGACTTCTTTGACAATGGGGAGTGGGAGATCCTTAGTGCCACTGGTGCCAAAGGGAACCGGAAGGATGGCTTGTATTCATACCCCTTCATTACATATTCCTTTATCCTAAAGAGGTTGCCGCTGTTCTACACACTTTTCCTCATCATTCCTTGTTTGGGTTTGTCCTTTCTGACAGTCTTGGTGTTTTACCTTCCCTCAGATGAAGGAGAGAAGCTGTCGCTCTCCACCTCTGTCCTAGTGTCACTCACTGTGTTCCTCCTGGTCATAGAGGACATCATACCCTCCTCCTCCAAGGTGATCCCACTCATTGGAGAGTATCTGCTCTTTATCATGATCTTTGTCACACTCTCAATCATCGTCACGGTCTTTGTCATCAACGTGCACCATCGCTCCTCTGCCACCTATCACCCCATGTCGCCATGGGTTCGCAATCTCTTCCTCCAAGAGCTACCGAGGTTGCTCTGCATGCGAGGACACACTGATCGCTACAACTACCCAGAGCTGGCTCCTGAAAGTCCTGAGTTGAAGCCTCGCTCTGGAGGTCGGAGAGGAGGCCAGAGGACCAACACCGGAGTCCATGGACAGATGGTTTCTGAGGGGACAGAGGATGAAGCCTGGGCGACCATGTTGGAGAAGGCCATATATTCAGTGCGCTACATAAGCAGACACATCCGCAAAGAGCACTTCATCCGTGAGGTGTGTTTGCCTGGACTGTATTAAACAAGAATGATTCAAATCATTTCACTTGCTCTTAGGGTTTAATGTCTATATGCGTTGCTGTCATAACATTTCCCATTTTTCCTTTGCCCAGGTGGTACAAGACTGGAAGTTTGTGGCCCAGGTGTTAGACAGGATCTTCCTTTGGGCTTTCCTAACAGTTTCAGTGCTGGGCACCGTCCTCATCTTCACTCCAGCGCTGCAAATGTTCCTAAAAATATCTCCCCCACCTGCAAGTGAGGATGCACCTTCAAACTAGTAGCAATTGCAAACACCTTTCACTGGAAAGTGATGATCCAGCTTCAGAAATGTATAAAACATTTGTTACCACTGAGTAAGAGGAAGGAGTTTTCTTTAAAGGCTTATTTCATCTCTTTGCTTTTTAGTTGTCTAGAGTCAATGTGTAAAATGTAAATGTTCTGTTATGTCACATAATAGTATCAAATTTTATGCAAATAAGGGAATTTAGTACACATGGGTACAGATGTGTTGCTTTTCAACTTGTTGATTGCAAAGTCACAAAATGTCAAGCTCACAGTGGGTTCAAGTAGCATGCAGCTATCAGTGCACGGTCATCCACACTACACTGCACTGTTTTTGAGCTAAAATTAAAGTAGCAAAAAAATCCAACCAGCTTCATTCAGCATAAAATGAAGCTATAAACAATGCACTAAAAACTGCCTTGAATCATTTCTTATCTGGCCTCATTATTGTTTTATGTTTCTAAGGGATATTGCCTTTGGTCTGATGTTGTTGTGGTGAACCCAGCTGCAAAACCGTCCTCTCTTAGACTCCACAGTTTAACAACCAAATAAATAAATAAATAATACTTAAAAATGTTATTGTTGAACTACATATTAGTTCAACAACACTTCACTTCATATATAACCAGTAATATCTACCACAGTAATAAGAGTGAGGGTTGCTCTTGTTATCACATACCTGAAGCACAATAGGGCTCTTAATGTAACCACTTCTTAGTGGTACAATATATTGTGAGAAAAAGAAGTGAACAATATTTTAACAACCTTACACATTCATCACCACATTCTAACACTTTTGCTGTTTCTTTGAATTCACTAGGAAATGAAGACAATAGGCGACTGGTCAGAGCTCTAACAGTGTATGTCTGAACACCTCACTACCTTTACCACAGTTATTTACATAGTGTGTGTCTGTCTCATCCACCTCCAGGATAGCATTTGTTATATTTTGGCCAGTAGTTAGAAACCTCAGTAAAATAGGAACATAGGATAAAAATGTTATAGACATTTCTTTGTTAAAATACACACAATATTTGTATTGTTCAAATGTACTTTATCACAGTAATAAAATAGTTTGGAATAGACAGCTGTTTATTTGTTGTTCTTAATAACCAGTTGAGCTCTGCTTTGTTCAATGAAAATTTAATTTGCCCATAATATCATACTCGTTCACTTAAAATAGGAAGAATGCAGTATTACGCATCACAGATAGCGAAGGTTGAGGTTATCAGCACAGTAAAAAAGGAACAGACCTAAAACTATAGTTTTATTAAAAATACCCACTGATGGCGGCACCAGACAGATGTCCCCTCCCAAGACCTTATTAAAATAAATGTCCTTATTTATAATAAACCAAATCGACCGCCCTTCTCCTCAGAAACAACAAAAGCACCACATGAACATTTTGTTGGGGATGGATGTGAAATGCTATAAAGACAAACTTGAATGTGCAAGTTTGTGGTTCAGACTATAAATGTACTCCAGGTACCAGGTGAGCCCGCACATGGTGCAGCCTCTCCATATACAGCCTGTTGTTTTCGCTGAAGATAGCAGAAAGATAGAGACAAAAGAAAAATGATAGTGATGGGGCCAGCTTACAGCACACACAAAGTGATATACAGTAATATAATTAAACCTTTTAAGAACAATATTCAAAGCTGCTCTGCTCAATAAGCAGTTTCCAATGATACAAATGGTTTGAAAAAGAATAAATTGCGTGAGCAAAATATGTTGACAAGTAATAAACCTAACAGAAACTACTTCATGTTAGTGTGTGTTACACCTCTAAAACTGCCTTCACTTGCAAAATAAACTCACAGCATCACAGAACTGTAATATGCCATGGCACATGCTTTGCTGCTGATTATCTCACTCACGTAGCGACAGAGCGGTCAAACATCAGGTTGCTCATGTCCATGTAGTACTGAGCATCTGTTCGAAGGGCTGTCCAGTATTCATTAGACTGCATTACTTGTCAAAGGGGTTTGGAGTTTGGATGGTTAAGGGCTAAGTGTTTATTATAGTACAACTTTACATGGAACCCATTAGATCACTAACCAAAACTACAAGGGAATCAACATTTTGTTTGAAGAAAAATGTTTGTCATCTTAGATGACAAGTGTGTATGGAATTTGTACACAATTCAATAGCAGAGTAATTCAACAGGTATTTTAATAATCAGTCAGAATATTTCAGGGGGATTATATCACATTTAGAACTTAATATTTCTGTATATTAAACATACTTTACATTCACGAATATGCAGTCACCCATGATATTGTCAGACCTACCACTCATAAGCGCAAACAGGATTGCAAACTTCATGTCTATAAAGTCATGAAAATTCAATATCTCACAGTATGATGAGCTAAATGAAGGATAAATATTAAAGTTATTGAAAAATTACAAGGAATATGAGACTTACTTGCGGCGGAGGCAGTGAACTGATGATTAACTGAATGGCTGAGGGTCTTCACTGCTCTCACTGAACTGTGACAGTGAACAAGAGTTTCTTTCATTCATTTTAACCAGGAGCCTGAGAGGAATGAGTGGAGTCGAGTATCAGGATGGTGGCTGAAGGCAACCACTTATCTGGGTGCCAAAGTACTGAGAGCCAACATTTTGGTTTTTCCCCATAGAAACAAGTCAGTTTGTGAGATTCAACATAAAGAGGATGGTGTCTAGACTGCAAACAAACTTCGGATTTGAGCAGACCTACAGTAATTCTCAGGTTTTTCCAGTAAATATGTCTGTTGACTGGTTTAACTTGACATCAGTGTGGTTATTCAGTAAAAATGTCTGAAAGGAGTCAAGTTTACTGCACAATACATAATGTATGTGCAGACTACTGCATAGTTTGACTTTATTTTTGTAGTTTATGTACATATTATTGTTTTCTTTCTTTGCAAGAAATATTTTTAAATTGGCCAACTGCATATTTCATTATTATATCAACTTTTTAAAATTTGTATTCTATATATAAAGATGTATATGTAATATGACCATTGTAATATGACCTGTACAGGTTGGGTTCACTGGAGACTCTAAACTGTCCCATAGGGCTTCATCAGAAAGGGCCAAAACTGCCAAATCACATATGCGACGTGCATTGCTTTGCTGTGGTGACCCCCACATGATAAAGAGCAGCCGAAAAAAAATGTGCATGACCATTTCTTCCACTGGGGGGGGTCCTAACCACAGTACCAGATGGTTGATGGTTGTTTTTACATGTGGGACATGAATATGAGAAAATGTTATTTATTAGAATTTATTGTTGATAGAGAAAGCAGACGTTCAAAAACAGACTTGAGCAAAAAAGTGCTATGTGTGAAGCATGTTGATGGTGCAGTAAAAGTGTCAAATGATGTTCATGAAGAGTGCTTTTAAGTGCAGGTGAAAATACTGACAAAGTGTGCACAATGCAGCATTTCAGTACCTAATGAAAAGACATTTAAAACCTGTTTGAGTCATGTAAGACTTACCAAAGCCTCAGAAGTTTCATAATGTGTCCCAGGAATATTAATTTGGGTTTTTACTTTTTAAAGGTGCTGCAATAACTGCTCATCATGAGCAGGAGGCTTCCTGTGAAATTCTTTGTATGATGTAATATTTCTGACCACCTAAAAGCTGAACTGAGAATCAGACATAGTGCACATAGACAATGACTTTAAGTCCAACAGAATAAAACACATTAATCATTCATCTGTTTTCTTTTTATTTGTGAACATAAGCATCTCTAAGTATGTGTATGTAAATGTGTGACAGGTTAAGGAGATCATACCTTAGGTTAATAGGTTAAATGTTAATGTATGA